ACATTTTAATACCCAGTGTGGCCTTGTGATCCTAAAAACAAAGACTTTCAAATGTGAACTCAAACTCTTAAAAATCTGGATAGGATTGCTTAGAAGTGGCTTGAGGCATAAAAAGATCTTTATGCTCTCTCCAAACAGAGAGGCAAAGGGAAGTTTTTCCTCTGTCAGCTTTTCCAGATGGTAGAATATTGTAACCCAGCACCTAAAAGTGAGACCTGATCAATTACTCATATAAGACAAAATTTTATTTATGTCTTTATTTAACTGCTGATATCTTTTCCTCCCTTTAAATGGTACTGACCTATTTCCTCTATTTGCAAAGGAATTCTGTTATAACCTCAGAGAATTTACTGACAGCAGCAAGAGTATGTTGAGGCTATTTTACAAAGCTATTGCAAGCGCCTCAATAGGGGCAAAAACAGTTTGCACTGTTCTCTATTCTGAAGAAGAGAAGTCATTGGTGTTCTGTAAAGCAGCAGGATGGCAGTGTCAGAATGACAGTGCTTGGCAATATTTTCACAGCCATCATTTAAGGTTGGCTGACTCATAAGTATTGACACAGTGAGGAGGGCTGCTTATTAGGGTAAGTCAAGCCCTGTTATCCAGGCTCTTGCCTTTATTCTGTTGCTTATCATCAATTACTAAACTAAATTTTCCTCTTGAACACAGCTACCTGTTTAAACTACCTGGAAATTAACTTGAGACTTAATTTGGAAACTTGGAATAATACTATTCCTAGAGAAACTTAACAGAAAAAAAAGACGTTCATTTGTTAATAATGCTAAATCTTAGAATGATGTACTGCAGCCTTTGCTGCTCAGAGTGTGTCCCATATCAGTGATTGGCATCACTGGGAGTTGTTAAAAATGCACTGTCCAACCCCATCCCAGACCTCTGATTTAGAATTTGCATTTTAATATTTTAAAGTTCAGAGTGATTCCGATACACTTAAAAGATAGAGAAACACTGATTTGAAGAAATAGGTGGGGAGAGGAGTGATTCTGACAGGTGGTTACTATTTTGTGTTACCAAGATGATGGTAAATAGAGATAAATTGAAGGGAGTAACAGAACCTGGAATCAAATATTAAAATAACAACAGCAACAACAGTGGACTTTAGCAACACTGATGTTTAGTGAATTATATTTGCTTTTCTTTTAGGCATTATTTATACAGTTGACTTATTTTAGTTCTTTTTTTTTTTCTTTTGGTTGTTTTTATTATTTATAATGTATATAAGAAAATTCACAGTTGCATCCATCCATGCATGAAGGAAGGAAAGAAAATAAATACTTGTCAGTCATCTATTACTGGGAATGGCTACTTTAAATCAGGACTCAATAGATGTAAAGTCTTCTGGGAGTGGTCACGTGGGCCATGGTGTCTTTAGATCAGGGAGCTCTGTGGTTGGAACTCCTACTTGTTCAAAAGAAGCCACCTCTTTAAAAGTCCTTGAAATATGAAATACAAGAGTTCACCCACTTGTTTGCATGTAGTTAATATCATGTTTCCCAAGTCTACTACAGCTACTACAAAGAGAAGACTTGCTTATTGTTATCTGTTTCACTGGGCTTATATTAGGAGATGTTAGTGGTTACTTTAAGGCAATTTCTGGAGGCTACTGTCTCTTTTTGTCCCAACTGCCTCCTGTCCATTTTTAATCATCCTAGAAAGTGTGTGTGTGTGTGTGTGTGTGTGTGTGTGTGTGTGTGAGTGTGTGTGTGTGTGTGTGTGTATGTGTGTGTGTAGGGCTTGACAGAAATTGTTGAGAGGTTAATATAACAATAAATGGAAATCACAGTGGTTTATAGTCACTGGCACATACACAATATATCACATGATGTCAGAAGAAAATCCTTCTTAATTCAATCAATAATATTATTTCCTGAAAAGAAAAGCCTTGCTCTTAAGTATCTATTTTTTTCTGCATTAGTATTATTCTACAGAGGCTTTGCATTCACTGTTCAGTAACTATGATTCTGGATAGCAGAGATCATTGACTATAAAAGCTGTCTATTTTACTTTTTTATTTGGGAAAAATATTTTCTATCCTGAAGTATATAAATCAGAAAATATTTTTGATATTATGCTAGTCTTTAAAACAAACAATCCCATAAACCAATATGGAATTATATTATAATTTAAAAAATAACAAAATTAACATAACCTAGTTTCAAACCCATTAATGTAATGTATGATTATCATGTCATTTTCCCAGCTATGGATGGGTGGATAATAGCAATAATGAATAAGAATATAAAAATGAGCAATGCTTTAGTAATGAATTTTTGTCTGAATTTTCCTTAAAGCTATGTTATTATATTATTTGTCCATTCTTATTTTTTAAATTAATTTTGGTGAACATTTCCTATTACATAACTTCAAAAGTTACTGTCCATCAGGCTACTAAAGCATGATTAATAAAATAAGCAATGGTGTTATTTCCCATAGACATTTCCCCCCTACTTACATTATCTAAAAACCAAAGCATATTATAGACCATTCTCTTAACCAGGATAAACTATCCAGGCTGTGTTTATACAGAACCCTCAATCCTAAAATTCCTCTTTGTTTTCCATTTTTCTTGGAGTTATTTCCAATCTATTCACTTCAATGTTTTGTCAGAGAAAATATTAAATAAACCTCAGGTCTTGTTGGTAGCTATCATTAAAAGGAGAAACAAAGAAGAATAAGCAAGTCAAGTTTTATTATTTTTTCAGTGCTAGTGCTTTTTATTTTCCCATATAGCTCTAACACTTTTGTGGAAAGGTAATTCATATTTTAGTAGAAGGTATTTTTCATTGATTTATCGGCTCAGTGAATATTTTTTTAAAGCAAGTACATATACACATCGCGGAGTGAGTAAATAGATTGTATTATTCCATCATTAGGAGCTATTTCCAGTGGCACCGCAATTAAATTATTTTTCTGAGCTTATATATGAAATTCAATACAGAGCTTTTTTTGTTGTGGTGGTTGTTTGGGTTAATAGAAACTTCCCAATTCAAATTAAAAAAAAAAAAACTGAAAAGGTGTTTGTAAATATAGTCAACAGAATTATACATTTTTTACAATTCTAAAAAGTATAATGTGCCAAACAGAATACTTACTACTGGCAAAGGCATTGATTCCCTTTGAGCTCTCCTAATCTCCTATTTTATAAATTACTTATGTGGGTACTTACAAGAGACCAAAATAAAAGGATAAAAATGTTATTATTTATCTACATGATACATATTACTTGTTTTTTTCTAATTTGTTTAGCTGCAATAGCATAGATTGAGCATGATTTGCATATGTACATGTTATTATGCTACCCAGTGTTTGTAAATATTGTGTTTTGGGTTGCTTTGTTTTAGTGACATGTATGTGAACAAAATATTTTAAATAAGTCAGTCTATTAAAAATCATTTTCACATCAGAAAATATTCATTGTGCATTACTTTTTAAAAATTGTTTTTCTTTTTCTAATACAATAATTAGATGACTTATTTTGAAATAGTATTTTAAATAAGCTATTTAAATCTGGGTAGATTACTATTGGGGTGAGCACTTCCTAAGGTATGTAAATGCCTAATCACAATGTTACTAATATGACATAATTACAGTATGTCAACTGTAATTGACAAATCAATTTAAAAAATAAAGTTGGGTAAGTTACAACTATAAAATACAGAAATGTAATAGTCATACTTTTTATTATAATCATATTCAATAGATTATAAACGTATTTCCCCCTTCCTGTCCAAATCTTTAAAAAATTCTTAAACCTTAGCATGTTAAAATAGAATGGCACACTAGTAATGAAATGAAAAGACAATTCAATAGGCTTTACAACTATAAACGGATAAAATCCCTAAAGGTTATAGTCTTTAAATTATTCAGGCTCTCTAAATTTCTACGGCCACAATATTTTTTTCGCAAGCGGAAAAAAAATGACATGTTGCTCACCTAGATCTAGCTGTTCCCTAGGTGGTTTGTTCTAGAAAAGCAACAGGCTTTCCCGCCTGCCTTGCCGGAAGCAACAGTTAGAAACTCTAACAACTAGAAAACTGCTACCCCTCAGTGGTTGGAACCAGCCAATAGAGAAACTGTCAGATATGATTTCAATCCATTTTTGCAATAGCTTCAGAAAGGGAGGAGAGAAAAAACACACAATAGAATGTTAACCCTTGGAAATGAAAAGACTGCGCTGTTAACTCTCGCCCCCTTCCTTCCACCATCCTTTTAACCAGCAGGCTTTGGCAGCACGCTTAAGTTTCCAGGGCAAAACAAAGCAATAACCGGAGTCATTCTGTTTCATCTTAGATTTGCAAAATGCAACAAGGCAAATTCATCAACACCCCCCCCCCCCCCCCCCACCCCCCCCCACACACACACGGGAACAACACGAGCCTGCCCAGAAGCTGGCTTGAGCACTTTCGCATTAGCAAGCATGGACTATTGTCTCAGCCTGTTGCTCCTGCCACGGGGTGTGCTGGAGCCTGGACGGAGGGCGGGGACACCGAAACCTCCTCCGTGTGCTTGTGTACTCGGTGCTGGGACTGGGTCTGTCCGGCTCCAGACTGCGGGGAACCGACCTGGAGAAAAGGAGGCTGCGGACCTGGGTCCGAACACCCAAGTGCAGGCCGCCTGCTGCCGGCAGATGGTGCCCTCGGCATCGGAACACCAAAGGAAACCCTGCTCGAGTCCCGCTCAGACTCCGCCCCACCCGTCTTTCCCCAAATAGTGCCGCGCACGTTTCCTCCGGAACACCGCAGTAGCCCGAGTGTGTGTGTGTGTGTGTGTGTGTGTGTGTGTGTGTGTGTGTGTGTGTCCCCCAAATACGATGCAAACCAGGGGCCACAGGGAGTGTGTGTGTGCCAGAGCGGGGAGCGCACGCGGACTGGGACTCCCGCGGCCGGGGCGAGATGACCGCCAATGAAACGCAGAGGACGCGGGGACCGGTCCATTTCGTATCTGCGTAAGCCCAGCCGCGAGCCCGTCCTGAGACCACTCACCATGTTCACTTCGGAAACCATGTCTATGCTGGCGACATCGATCCGCATCCCGACGTCCACGGGGGGCCCTGCCGGGGAGATGGGACGTATTATGGGCATATTCTCAGAGTGGCGACAGACTGGGGAGGGGACAGGGGCTTCCTTGGCACTTCCTACATTCTGAATGGGCTCCCTGTACTCCCATCCCTCCGGGGGGGGGGGGGGGGGGGGGAGACAGCTTGGGAAAACAGGTGTGGGCACACGCGTGATGCAGTGACTATGCAGAGGGTGTGTCGGGCCGGGGTAAGGTTGGCTCTGCCTGGGGTTTCATCCACCTGCTACTGGGGGGATCCTGTGTGTGTGCGTGTGTGTGTGCGCGTGCGTGTGTGTGTGCGTGTGTGTGCGTGTGTGTGCGTGTGTGTGTGTGTGTGTGTGTGTGTGCCCAAGGCGTAGGGCATAGTGCACGCTTACGAAAATTACATGCTTTTTATTTTTTCTGACATTTATCTTTGTCAGGAAAAGAGAACTAGGTGTGGGTTACAGGTTGAAAAAAGATGAAGCTTTACCTCCAAAGTCCGGCCGCAAGCGAATGTCATATCCTTTGAGCAATCTGTCCACTGTCTCTTTCACGTATGACATGTTGCTGGGCTCATTGGCGCTGAAGGGAAGAAGTAGGGACCGTATTCAGAATGAGCACAAACTGCGAGCAGACATAAAAATAGATAGGCACACCTACCCCCAAATAACAAGCTACATGATCCAGCAAGCATGTAACAAGAAAAACACTCAGGAAGGAAAAAAAAAATAGCTCACCTGTGTGCACAACAGACCATGGCAATCATCACAGGGAAAGAGAGAAGCCCCAGACTCTCTCGATTATGCACTGTCCACATTACTAACTCTGATTAAAGAATTGTCTTTTCGGCGAAGATTCAAGGAATGCAACTTAGTCGGCGGCAGGGCAGTAATTCCCGAATGGACCTGCGCATGCGCAGAGGGTGCTCTCGACCAAAAGACACCTTGTGCCTTGCAAACAATATTCCTAGTGGAACAGGCAACAGATTTCAATCCCTTTAAAGTTCCTGTTTGTGGTGCTCTGCGTCCTCGGAGTAGTCGGAGATTTCCTGCTGTCTGCTTGCTGGGAATCCTAAGTGCATGTGTTTTGGGATTGGAGGTTGCTATGATCTTTTTCCTCTATGCCCTCAACCTGCCTTTTTTTTTTTTTTTTAACTCAACTCGCAGGCATCTGGCTAAGGCTGCCTGTGATTGGAACCTTTCGGTAACAGTCACAGCGGTCCCAGAACTGGGAGTTTAGAGAGAGGGCGGTTCTCTGGTCGCCAGTGTGTGTGTGTGTGTGTGTGTGTGTGTGTGTGTGTGATGGGAAGGGGGAGGGAGGAAAGCTTGGCGGTGGGTGGGGTGGAGAATGAAGTGAATTGAAGAGGGAAAGCCAGAGAAGAAGGGAAAAGGCAGAGGAAACCCAGGAATATTTGAGGCCTCCAAGAATCTGGTCCCCCTGGGAGGCTTTTTAAGACTTCCCTGTTAGAGTAGCCCATCTCTGTGGGAGGGAGGGGAGGGGCGGGTCAGTTCCTCCCCCGCCCCCGCTTCCTTTCTTCCCTCCCCCTTTTAGTCTCTGCAGCCTAGGACGGAGGCAGGAGCGGGGACAAGCAATGAGACAGCATCTCTGGGCAGGCTATCCTTTTTCTATGGCCACTGGGCCCAAGTTCCACTTTTCTTCTAGGTTCTAGTGAGGAAAATCTCTTTCATAAATTGCCAGTATGTTAGCTGGTATATAGTAACCCAGAAGGGGCTCTGAAACACCCAGAGGGTCTAACCTCTGTTTGCAAGCAGATTGGGGTTCTGTAGGAGCAACAGTTGTGTGAATTAAAATAAATTCAAACAATGCAATTTGATAAATGTCACTGAGCACAAGTTAGGAGGGAAGCCCTGGGCTAGGGGTTGGTTCATTAAAGAGGATTCCTGTCCTAGACAAATTCACAAATCAGACAGAGGGGTAAAAATATAGGCATATTAAATATAGATCTCTAGACAGTGTTATGGTGACAGGAAGGCTGTTAATTCTACCAGGGAGAAGTAGGATATGGTTTCAGAAGAGAAATCTTTTTTGCCAGAGCAGGGAGAGAGGGGTATTCCAGAAGGAGGGAACAACATCTGCCAAATCCTAGAGACTTAAAATACTGGTCTGCTTGAATAGCTACACCCTGAAAAAACTGAGCAGAATATAAACCAAGGAGGTAGGGATGGTAGGTGATGAAGGTGTAAAGGGAAACTGAAGCCAGACTATAAATAAAATTACATACAGAACTATGCAGATATGAGCTTCTGGAAATCACTGGAGGTTTTAAGTAGGAATGGTCAAGGTCAGATTTAGGCTTTAGACAGAATGTTCTGGTAGAATAATCATAAGAACAATTAACATTTGTCATTTGCTGACTATTTACTGGTTATTGTGTATACATTACCTATTACCTCTTTTAACTTTATAATAATATAAATGTGATATATATTATTCTCATTTTATAGATAATGATGCTAGGAATGAATTAGGGTAATGTAACTAGTTTAATATCAAACAGCTAATAAATGGTGGAATCTGTGTTTCAACCCAGAATTTATGAACCTAACTACCCTATGTTTTGAAATATAGACCCCAAAAGAGGAAACAGACAGGGAAAATGAGAAGAAAGAAGGGTTATTATTACAACCCCAAGCAAAGGGAACTGCAGCATGGAGAGGTCATAGACTAGTGCAAGGTTTCTAAAGTATAATGGGAGCATCAAATAATTGGGGAGCTCAGGGCTTGGAAACTTTCAGAAGGTGCTAATGAACTGTACAAACATTTATAAAAATGTAGATCTTGAAACTATTCATATAAATTAATTTTATTTTCTCATTTGAGCCTCATACCAACCCTAAACTATGAGGCTACTTCTTCTGGGGACAATGTTAGCTCTTAATCTGTTTTCTTAATTTTCTTAAAAGTATGTGAAGTCTACCTCTTTAATTTATATGGATCCTCTTTAATGGGTAAAGAGAATATTTGTTATTCAGGTTCTCACTGAAGCAAAGAACCTCTCTATACTGCACAGCTCTTTGCAAAAGCCAGGCTGTAGAAAATTAGATCTGTGGACATTTACTTTATTTGTTCACTCATTTATTCCTCAAGTATGTATTGAACATCAACTGTCAGGCACTATGCTAAAAGCTGGTGATACAACAGTGAAAAAGACAGCATACAGAGTCCCTTTGCACATGGAATTTGTCAATTGATCTATCTATGAGTGGTTGCAAATTGTCAGCCTTGCTAGCCAAATTCTATTCATAAAAAGAAGCATTTAGTTTGGTGTTTACTGTGTTTGTGTAACTTATAAAACTTTTACTGGGATATATGTTTTCCAGTTGGTCATACATCCCCAAAGCTCCTTTTGAACAACCACCAGGATTTTATTTAACAATGTCTGTTAAAGAGCCAAGATTTTATTCTAGCATTAAGAAAGAATATCACTGACTTTGTATACTTGAATTCTAATGTTTAGCATTCCCCAGTTCAGATCAATTTCACTGAATTTGGCTTTTAAATTATGCCTTCCACCTACATGGAAGCACACTACAAGAACTCATAAGATATTCATTATCACATCTATTATTGGGATGCTATTGAGGATAAAGCCCAGTGTATCACTTAGTATCTTATGTATGAGACCTAGTATTCTGAAAATGTTTTCACTTCCTAAATAGCTTTTATCTTATGGGCAATATGAATCTTATAATTCATTAATTTCCCTATTTTCTTTGGCCACTGAGAATATTAGATTTATAGGTACAATTCAGCTTTAATAATGATGTAAGATCTTAATGACCTGAATTTTGATATATTACATTTCTCCATGATGACTTGGAATTCTAAATTTGTTTTTCCTTTTTCACACTTTACTAACTTAAAAACAGTATGTTGCACTGAATATATATAGTGTGTAAGTTGCCTTGAATAATTTCTGGCACTAATTGGGAAAGAAATAAATTTAAAATAAGAAATAAGTAATTAATTTAAAAAATTAAAAATCACCAGATCCAGAAACAGTGTGGGATTTATTGTGGCTTGAAAAAGCCAATACTTACGTTCTCTGTGAAGTTGCTTGTCTTTCCCCAAAACCAACGCTCTTAATTAAGAGCTTCCCTCCTTCAAGATTCAAATCAATTTCCACTTTCTGTTCAAGCTATTCCTACAACTATTATCTTCTGATAACTCTTAGAAGGACTGAAGGAGGATCCTAAAAATAATCACCCAACTAAGATGGAAGTGTCTGAAGATCAAGACATATTCTTACATACTCTTAGTGAATATGCTTATTGATTAGAATATAGAATAAGCAGCTTTAAATTCTGTTTTGAATTGGGATCAAACTTGGAAATGATGGTTTCACTTACAAATTAGTCCGGCTTATTTATTTATTCTTGTAAATACTGAATCCAGACAAATAATGTATAGGCTAAAGCTCTCTTTAATAAGCTATATCAATGACACTGTGTAGCTCTAATGTAGATGAAACACCCTAAAAGGAGTACTACAGAATTTGTTAAAACAAAATAATAAGTATTTAATTTTATAATTTAAGATTATAACTAAAGTTCACTGCAGTCAGTATGGCTTCTTTTTATTGAGCATCTATTATGTGCCTAGCAAGTATGCAACTCTGCAGTCATAATTAGTCCATTATTATTTGTCCTCAACTTAGTTTAAAATCTTATGTGAATGGATATATTAGCTTGGATGTATGTGAAAGAAAGGTGATAATAATTGTTTGGAAGTACTATAAAGGAGGTTCTTAAACATAAATAAAGAATAAAGAAGTGCCCATCCTAATTCAATCCTGCATTTTCCAGATATTAACTTCAGTATAAAAAATTAAGCATTTGGTTAAATTAATGTTTCAAATTAGTGGATAAATAACATGTTTTCTAATGAATAATAGAAAAAATATCGCTTTGAAAAAATAATTAATATTATAAAAGCATTTCCTTATAGTTTTTATTAAAATAAGTTTCAGATGAAGGAAGGACTTAAAGGTAAAAAATGAAATCATAGAAATAATAGATAGGTACATGCATAATAACCATTCATCATATAATAAGTGAATATAGAACATATTTTCTCTTTGACAAATGCTGGTCAAAGGAGAAAAAATTTTAAAAAACTGTATATTGATATGAATACAATTATAAAATTGTTTTTAAATCATATACCTGAAAAATAATTAATTGTGATAGAGGCACTTCCATGAAAATATGAATATTCAACATTTTACCAGAGGTATGATATTTCAATGAGACAAATAAAATTGGGGGGAAAATCATAGAAAAATAAAAAAGGAACTAAGATTTCCTTATTTCCACATGGTAAGTCTGCCTAGAAAGAAAATCTAACAGCATCTCCATACATATAAGACTACAATAAGAGAGTTAGGCCAGCTGGCTGGAATGAAGATCAAACAACATTTAAATACATGTTACCAGCATTACTATCCACAGCAGTTACCAACAAGAAAACATAATGGGAAAACTTACTTCATTACAATAATAGCAAAAACTTCAATGTACCCAAGAATAACTAAAACAGAGATGTTGCAGAGCTTTAGAGAGAATCTATATAACATTATGGATGGACATAAAGTAAGACCTAGCCAAAGGAAAATGTACCATATTTGAGACGGGAGACTCAATAACTAAAGATGTCAATTGTACCCACTCTAAGAAATATCATCCATTTGAATCAAAGTTCAAACATTTGCAGTGGGAATTAAGAAACCAACCCTAAAACTCAAATGCAAGATTAAACCGGAAGAGAAAAAGGACAAGAAATTTTTGAAGAAAAAAAAAGAGGGAGGTTAAGGGACACTTATCTTTGAGATACCAGGACCTATTGAACTATAGAAATTGAAGCAGTGAGTGTTCAGTTCATGAAACAGTGGGATTCACACAGAGACAA